CTTCACAGGTGCGCACAATCTGTCCAGCGTCAGCTACTACGGTCGGTTAGTAGAAGCCTTGTCGGAACACATTTCTGACTAGGGTCCTAGGTGCGGCATGGTGCTAGCAGACCCCACCATGGATATCACTCAGCAACTGCCTCCTTTGTTCAATGGGGATGCAGCGTTGTAGGATCCTGGTGTGGCTTCGCCTGTAGAGCTTGCCCTCAATAACAACAAAGGACTTGGCGCGACGCGTGAGCCAACGAGCCTCCATTTTGTCCGTCGACAGTGCCTCACAGAGGAGGTAGTCGAGGTAAAGTGTCCTCTAGTCGGCCAGAGGGTCAGGCTCTGTCGCTGGATCCTCGTCAAGCTCCATGACTTTGGGGTCGGATGGAGCCATCGGCTGGTTAGCCCTGAGACTAGGGTAGGCGGCCCATCACCAGTCGGTTCTATCTCCTCATAGCGTACCAAGGGCTTGTACTGATCGCTGGCAAAGACACTCGTTAGCACCAGCTCTCGGTCGGATGCCGTTTTCACTAGCGTGTCGGCCGCCTCGTTGAGACACCACGAGATGTGATTGAGCTTAAGACTGTTGAACTTGTCCTCTAGCTAGTGGACTTCTCGGCAATACATAGCCATCTTGGCATTGTGGCAGCTTGTTTCCTTCATGACTTGGTCGATGACCAGATAGGAGTCACCCCGGACATCAAGCCGTTGGATACCCAACTCCATGGTGATGCGTAGGCCATTGATGAGTGCCTCATACTCAGTCACATTGTTAGAGGAGGGGAAATGGATGCGAACCATGTACCTCATGCGTACCCTGAGGGGCGAAACAAAGACCAACCCTGCATCGGTGCCTTTCTTCATCAGTGATCCATCGAAGCACATTGTCCAGTACTCTTGGTCCACGATTGCTGGCGGCATTTGGATCTTGGTCCACTCTATAATGAAATCAGCCAGCACTTGGGACTTGATGGCTGTTCGAGGGGCATATGAAATGCCTTGACCCATCCGCTTGAGTGCCCACTTCGTGATTCTTCCTGTGGCATCCTGGTTTTGGATGACCTCGCCGAGAGGGAAGGATGTCACAACTGTCACTAGATGCAACTCGAAGTAGTGACACAACTTCCTCTTGGCGATAAGGACGGCGTATAGGAGTTTCTGGATTTGGGGGTAGTGAGTCTTGGAATCAGATAAGACCTTGCTAATGAAGTACATGGGATGCAGCACTTTGAGGGCGTGTCCCTTTTCTTCTCGCTCTACCACCAGGGCGGTGCTGACCACTTGCGTGGTGGGCACAATGTAGAGTAGAAGCGGTTTCCCGTCGGTTAGGGGGACCAGGATCGGGGCCTTCGTTAGGAGCTGCTTGACCTTGTCATGTGCCTCCTAGGCCTCAGGCGTCCATTCGAAGCGGTCGGCCTTCTTCAGAAGCCAATAGAGGGGGAGACCTCATTCGTTGAGGCGTGAGATAAAGCGCCTGAGCCTGGCGAGGCACCCTGTAACTCGTTGTACCCCCTTTATGTTCTGGATTGGGCCCATCCTCATGATGGCCGAGATCTTCTCCGGGTTGGTTTTGATGCCACGCTTGGAGATGATAAAACCCAGCAGCATACCCCTTGGGACCCCAAAAATGCACATCTCGAGGTTGAGTTTGATACCGTTTGCTCGCAGTTTCGTGAAGGTTTGCTCTAGGTCAGCTATGACCTGGTCAGCCGGTTTGGATTTGACCACGATGAGAGCCCCAAAACATTTGAGCATGCAGCGTTGGTACGTAGCCCCCACGTTCTTTAGGCCGAACGGTATTGTGACAAAGCAGAACGATCCAAATGGGGTGATGAAAGATGTCGTGAGCTGGTTAGACTCTTTCATTGCGATTTGATGGTATCCGGAGTACGCATCAAGGAAGCAAAGTGTTTTGCACCCTAAGGTCGAGTCGACTACTTGGTCTATGCATGGCAAAGGAAACGAATCCTTTGGACATGTTTTGTTGAGACCCGTGTAGTCAACACATATTCTCAATTTTCCACTCTTTTTTCGTACAAGAACGGGATTGGCTAACCACTCGGGGTGGTATACTTCCTTGATGAACCCGACCACCAAAAGCTTCACAATCTCCTCGCTGATGGACCTGTGTTTCTCCTCATCGAAGAGATGCAGGAGTTGCTTCAGTGGCTTGGAGCCTGGCCTGATCTTCAAGGTGTGCTCGGCGAGTTCTCTCAAAATGCCTAGCATGTCCGAGGGTCTCCACACAAAGATGTCTCTGTTGGCGCGGAGGAAGTCGGCAAGCGCACTTTCCTATTTGGAGGAAAACGTGGTGTCGATGCGCACCACTTTGCCCTCAGAGCCGCTAGGGTCTATGAGGACCTCCTTGGCACCATCTATAGGCTCGAAAGACCCAGCCGACTGCTTGGGGTTGGGCGCTTCTTCGATGACCTCCTCCCTGATGGCCACAAGCTCTTTGGAGGCGACAATTGCCACAACGTGTTCGCAGCACTCAACCTCACACTCGTAGGCGCGCTGGGAGGAGGTATCGATGGTGATGACCCCACATGGATCTGGCATCTTCAACCTCAGATAGGTGTAGTTAGGGATAGCCATGAACTTCACGTAGCATGGACATCCCAGGATGGCATGGTAGGTCCCGTGGAACCCGACCACCTTGAAGGCAAGGGTCTCTCCATCCTATAATTAGTCGGATTCTCGAAGGTGACGGGCAGATCAATCTGCCCAAGTGGCACAGCCTGCTTTCCAGGCATGATGCCATGGCAAGGTGCCCTGATCGGGTGTCATGGGCTTTGGAAGCCCCCAGAGCAAGGCTATCATGGCAACGATGTTGTGGCTTGCCAGGTGAAGTGTGGGAGGGCTTTGTCATCCTTGATGATCCTCCAGTTCATGTTGCAAGCCATGGCGCATGCACACCCACAGTCTCTGTGGCACTCGATCTCTCACTCAAGCTTTGCGCATTCCTGCTCGAGCTGGAGTCGTGCTTCTTCGAGCTCTTGGTGCCACGCCCTCAGCTGCTCTACCCGTAGGCGAGATAGGGCCCTTGCATCCCCCTCGACCTCGTCATCAAGGTCATCTATTGGGGTAGCCCCTCCCTCATGTATGCTTACAATGTATCCCTCAAGGTACCTACCATGAAACATTCTCGCAAGAGGTGATGGCTCCCACTGCTAGAGTCAGAGTTGAAGGGCAACTCTGATTCTCCCACGAGAAGGTTGTGGAAAGATTCGGCGATGTATTCAGTCATCCCCATGAGCTCGTCATTCGTAGGGGATAGGGGCATGCGCTATGCCATAAGGTGGCCAACGGTCTCTGCGGTGTTGCGCAGATCTAACGGGAGCACTGTCGGGGTGCTCCGGATGAGGTATTTTAGGGAGAGTGACTCTCCTCCAGCAAGCTACGTCATGACGTTGGCGAATGAGAAGGTGAAGTGGCGTAGGTCCTCCTAGGATGGTCGGGGTCCTAGGAAGGCGCCGAGCTGGCGCTCTAGCCTCCAGTAATCGAAGCCGAGGAGTTGGTCGCTCCTGGGGGCGTTGGCCTCCGGTGCGTGTAGCTGCAGCTCCTCAAATGTCTCGACGATCGCGACGAGGCCTGCGGAGTGGAGAGGCTACATGACGGCGGGAACCTACGCCAACTCTCCCCCCCATCGTAACGATGAAGTCTAGGTTCCCAAAGCGTACGTGCGCACCCGAGACCTAGCTAACACCGTGACTAGCCATCCAAGGACTGATGTGGACGTCGAGATTCACAAAAAGCCCCAACCTGGCACGCTAATTGTCAGAGTTTTTGGACCACCGTCGAGTAAATTTGTATTTGCGCGTCTGGCTCAGATGGTGTGCTCGGAGGACACAAGGGTTTATACTAGTTCAGGCGGAACATCCCTACATCCAGTTCGCTATTGCTCATGTTACCGACACTTGGTTTGAAGTAGGGATTACAAACAGGCGAGAGAGGGAGAGGATCCCAAGTCTTTGGTGGAAGGAGTGAATGGGTGCTGAGAGCTCGCTTGCCGCTCAGCCATGTGCTCGTGTCATGCTCTTGTGTCCAGATCTCCCCTTTCATGGGGCACCCTGCTTCCCCATTTATAGGTGAAGGGAAAGCGTGGATTATAGAGGAGGAAAAGGAGAAGAACAAGAGAGAGAAGAAGGCTTCTAAGGTTGTAGGGTCCATCTTCTCCTTCATGCAGGTCCCGCCAATCCTGTAGATGTCAATAGGGATGGCTCCATGTCACAGCCCTATTCATCACTAGCACCATGCGTAGGCATCATCTGCCAGTCATGGCGTTCCACTCCATCCTAGCGGACGTCGTGGTGAACTAACACGCTTGTCAGCGTCCATACGAGGATTAGGCAGAATAGCACCGGCATGACCGACACTGTTCTTGATGTGAATCCCCAGGTGTGGCCTGTCATGGCCACGGGTTACATCGAGGCGTGCCAACCTCTTCCCTGGCATTAGAGTTTTGACCCAGGCCCAAACGCTTGGACCTAGAGTGGTTGGCGGTGGTATGGGTCCCCGTCGGACGAGACGGAACCCACGTCCTTGAGGTCGGGCGAGACGGAGCCCGTGACCTTGGGAGAGATGGAAACCGTGTCCTTGGCGTCGAGCAAGATGCAGCCCGCATCCAAGGGGTCGGGTGAGACGAAGCCCACGGCCTCGAGGTCGGGCGAGACGAAGCCCGCGGCCTTAGGCGAGACGGAACCTGCATCCTTGGGGTCGGGCGAGACAGAGCTCATGGCCTCGAGGTCGGGCGAGATAGAGCCCGTGGCCTTGGGGTTGGGCGAGACCTTTTAATACGTCTCGAGCCATCCGGGGAAGTCAGCGTGGGCGCTAACTTCCTTGCTTTGGGTATCCCTAATACCGATACCCGACAAGATGCTACAAAAGGACTTGGAAGTTAGGGTGAACTAGGGAAGCGACCAGCAGCCTATAATACATGAATTTGACATGAGTGGTGGTGGAGAAACAAATTGGTGGATGATGTAGAACTTACATTTGCATTTTTTGAAAGGATGGATAATAAGAAATTGTTCTTGTTTGTTGATATTGTGGACAAACCTGCAGATGTGATTTCCAACTCAGCTATTACAGAGGTAGCAGTGAGCAATGTGGGGCATGATAATGCCACAGGACAAGGGGATTGCAACAATGAGGCAGTTGTTTCTCCTCTAATTGATTGGGACAGTCTAGAGATAATTCCTCTTGTAGAAGATCAGATTGGGGCTGCACTCCCTATGATGAATGAGGAAGCAATGTATGAGTTTGTTGGTCTTAGAGCAGAGGATGAGAGAGTTGAGCAAGCTAGGATGGCTGTTGAAAAGGAGAATGAAAGTAATGTTGATGATCTTAATCTTTAGGATGGAGAGTTGTTGGTGGATGATCCTGGTGAGGATTCTGTGTTCTACGACAGAGAAAACCCTCCAATGAAAGTTGGAATCAAATATCCTAGTATGGATGAATTCCGAGCTACAGTAAGGCAACATGGTATAATGGGACAGTTTGAACTTGGAACACAAAAATCTTGCAAAGATTTGTTTAGAGGGTACTGCAAAGCTAAGGGTTGTCCATGGTCTATTGTAGCAAGGCTGATGCGAGATAAGCAGCAAGTCAGGGTACTAACACTTTTTCAGAGACAACATGCTAACTTAATATATTATTTACTTTTATTTGTCCAGCATGTCTATTTTAATTTTTCAAGGTTGCTAACATGTTTATTTTAATTTTCATATTACATTGAGTAAAGAAAAGCATTTTTGTCCTTCTACTGGGAGAGTGAGGACCAAGATGGAACATACCATTGGGTGGCAGAGAAAGCAATTCCTCTTCTAAAGAAGGATCCAAACATGGGTGCCAAGAAAATACAAGAAGAGTTAGAAGAGAAGTATCAAGTGACAATAGGCTATTCAACCATGCACCTCGGTAAGGACAAGGCAGAACAACAAATGTTTAGTACTTGGGAAGAAAGTTTTGGATATTTGTTCAACTTCATGGCAGAGATTGAGCTCAGAATGCCAGGAAGTGTTGTAGAGATAGATGTTGTGCATAAAGAGGAAATTGTATTTTCCATAGGTTCTTTTGATCTCTGAAACCAAGCATTGATGGTTCCCTAAATGGTTGTAGGCCATTTTGAGTATTGACTCAATGGCTCTCAATGGTAGATGGGATGGCCACTTGCCTTTAGCTACAGCATTGGACGGGCACAATTGGATGTTTACAATTGCATTTCGGTTTTTTGATGGTGAGACTACTGATAATTGGACTTGGTTTATGCAGCAGCTGCAAAAGCCAATTGGAAATCCACCTCACCTAGGTATATGTTTAGATGCTTGCAAGGGCCTAGAAATGCAGTGAAGATGGTGTACCCTTGGGTAGAACATAGAGAATGTTTTGTCCATTTGATGAAGAATTTTAGCAAGAGGTTTCAAGGGCCTGCATTTGGGAGAATGTACCCTGTGGCTAGGACTTTCCAACCAGAGTACCATGAGTACTTAATGAACAAGATGTATGCAGTGAATAAAAAGGTTGAGCCATGGTTGAAAGCAAATCACAAGTTGAAGTGGATGAGGAGCAAATTCTCAGAGGCAATAAAGTGTGACCATATCACCAATAATGTGGCAGAGGTTTGGAACAATTGGGTGAAAGACAGCAAGGACCTTCCCATAGCTGACCTTGTCGACACTCTTAGGTTCAAGTTCATGGAACTTTATGCAAGAAGGAGAAGAATAAGTGAGAAATTTGAAGGACATGTGTTGGGTTCATGAACCCGAAGTCCCTCATGGACCTGCTTCCCAGCAAAAGCTTGGCCCAGTAGATGACGTTGCGAACGATGCGTAACTCCTGGGCCGGCCCAAAAACCAAACGGCGCTCACTTCCGACTCCGACCCACCTCCCCACCGGAAGGCCTAGCCAAGAAGGAATAGCTCTTCCATCGCTTCCAACTCCAGCCCGCCTCTTCGACTGGAAGGCCTGGCCAAGGAGGACCGGCGCTCGCCTCCGACTCCATCCTGCCTCTCTGACTGGAAGGCCTAGCCAGATTGCCTCTGACTCTAGCGCTCGCTTCTGACTCCGGCCCGCCTTTCCGACCAGAAGGCGTGAACAAGAAAGAACAGCGCTCGCTTCTGACTCCGGCGCTCACTTCTGACTCCGGCCCACCTTTCTGACCAGAAGGCATGGCCAAGAAGGAATGGCGCTCGCTTCTAACTCTGGCCCGCCTCACCGACTGGAAGGCCTGGCCAGATTGCCTCCGACTCCGGTGCTCGCTTCTGACTCGGCCCGCCTTTCCAACGGAAGGCTTGGCCAAGGAGGAACGGTGCTCGCTTCCGTCGCCTCTGACTCGCTTCTCTGACCTGGAGTACATCGAACACCAACAGTGTTGTGGGCGCCGACATTTGACCTACAGTATGGTAGGCGCTGTCATTTGCCGTACCAGAAGATCACGATGGAGCCTACCACATGCATCCAGACATCAACAGTGTTGTGGGCGCCAACAAACTACCTTGTACTCGACGTAGTGGGCAACAAGACTAGGTAGCACACACACGCTCTTTTCTCTCACACTCTCTCTTGTAAAGCCGTCCCCTTCATCTATGAAAGGGGATGCGCTCTCTCAAAAAGGGGGACGATCGGTTCGAACAACTTGAACGACTCTAACAGACAACACACAAATCATTTTGATTCTCTCTGCTTGGCTCTAGAACTCTAAGGCCCAATAGAGCACACGCTCAAATACTTAGCGCATGTAGGAGCCCTCGTCTCTCTCGGCCCTTCGGTCCAGAGTCCAACTGGACCTTTTGCACCCCCCATCTTACTCCCTCTTGTTTGTAACCCCATAGCAAACTTCGAGCACCTGGGCTCAGGAACAAAGTCACCGACTGACTCAAACTGAACGTAGGGCACGTTGCCTGAACTAGTATAAACCCTATGTCATTGAGTGCTAGGCCACATCTGATCACAACGTATGGCAAAACTACAAATATTTATGTGTTGGTCACTTTCTACACCGATAGTTGGCACTGTCCGTGGGAAGAACGCCGTACGTTCACGCTTTTGGTCATCGGATGGCCCATCTTTCTACCGTCTTAGACATGGCGGGCTCAAGCGATACGACTTGCTTCGGCTCGCTGGAGTTTCCCATGCTCCCACCTGTTGGGATGTGGGTTCCTCCCATCTTCGAGCCATCTCAGGCCTTCCTCTTTGGAAGCCTAGACTTCATCGCTGACCGGATCAGCGTGCTTCACCTCCACGAGGAGGCACTTGTCCTAGCGCCCGTCGAAGGAGGAGCATCCTCCGTCGGCTCCGGGACACCCAGCGACCTCAATGATGAGGTGCCTGCGCTTCGCTCTGGGCCTACGCTAGGCTCAAACCCCACTGTGAGTAACGTACATACGGTTCTTTACTCGCTTTTTTATATTTTTCGCTGACTCTCTAGAGGGACACCGTTCTCCCTGCCCCTATCGCCACACGACCGGTTCCCCTATGGCCTCGCATCCCCCATGGACGTGTACGCACGAGGGCTCTAAAAGATGCTGGTGTCGCCCCCTCTCACATCCGAAGTCATGGGGATGGCGAGCTATGCTCCTGCCTCTTTCTACGACCTCATAGATGATGATGTTGAGAGTGATGGCTCCAGCATCGGCGATGTCGTGGCACCTAGCCACCCTTTGTCCCAGGAGTGCGCTATGGCGAACGCTCTGGGATAGCCGCCGGTGGTGGCGGAGTCTCTACAGACCCACACCCCTCCGGATCCTCGCGTGGAGGCCCTCGCATGTGCACGGGAGCACGGCGAGTAGCTACGACAAAGGCAGCAGAACCAGTCGCCACTTGCGCCGGCGCGCTCAGTGTAGCATGCTGCGCCCCATGCGCATAACCCAGTGAGTGGCGCACGGGATTGTGCCCGCTAGGTCCAGCGCAACATCATCGACACGGGGAACGATCCCCCATAGTTTGCTCGGGATGGCCAGAACATCGCCGCTGCGGTGATGCTTCTACGTGGCCTTCCCGAGCCTATCGACCCAAAGGAGCAGGCAATCCACCGAAACCTCCGGGCACTGGTGGAAACCACCGCCGTTCAACAGGTAGAGAGCTCCGCGTGGCGACACCAACTCGTGGCCTCCCTCCCCACTAGGGGAGTGGGGACGCACCAGACGAATCACTTCATCCGCTCACCTCTATAGTCACTGGGCGTGGAACAGGAGGGCGTAGCTACACCACGGCCTGACCCGGTGCCCACTTCGCACCGCCCACCTGTGCACGAATGCCTCAGGCCAAACTGAGATGCTCACAGCAGCATCAGCAACCGGTGTTGGGCCCGGCATGATGATGACGTCCATCAGGCGGCGGTAAGAGCAGGCGACACGGGCTCCACCCGAACGATCGAGGGGAGCGACAAAACGCACCCCAGGCATGGTCACTGACCCAACGACCGGAGCCCCAGCCCAGATGGCCCGAGACCATCGGCCTTGGGCCGACGCATCCAGAGAGCGCGATTCCCGCAGTGCTTCCGACCGCCTACCAACGTCGCCAAGTATACCGATGAGATGAACCTTGGTATATGGCTCGAAGACTTTTGGCTCACCTACCGAGCCAGAGGAGTGGATGATGACCACTTCATCATCTAGTACCTCCCCATCTACGTGGGGGAATATGTTCGAGCGTGGCTTGAATTCCTCCCGCGTGACAGCATCCACGACTGGGCGGACCACAAGAAGATCTTCGTCGGGAATTTCCAGGGGACGTATGTCCACCTTGGGAACTCCTAGGACCTCAAGAGCTACCAGCAGGAGCCCAATGAGTCCCTATGGGCTTACATCCGCATATTCTTGAAACGATGCAACTCCCTTCCTGATGTCGTCGGCGCGGACGTCATCAGCGCATTCCTCTCTGGGACAACCTGCGAGTCCCTGATCCACAAGCTTGGCTGCCTAAAGCCCCGTACCACTCGTGACCCGCTCGATGTCGCCACAAACCACGCATCCAGCGAGGAGGCAGTTGGAGCGGTCTTCAACGGAGGCCAGGAAAAGGGCAAGGCCAAGCGCGAGGACAGAGACGAGGGCCCCTCCACGTAGAGGGGCAAAAAGAACAAGAAGGATCGGCGCCGACCGACCAACTCCGCGTTGGTCACAACGGCTGATCGCGTGGGCAAACAGCCCCAGCAGGGCTGGCCTGACCACTTCAACAAGCTCATGGATAGCTCATGCACCAACCACGCTTACCCCGTCAAGCACCTCTACAAGGACTGCGAGCTCCTCAAGCGCTTCCTGCGATAGGCCGGTGGGCCGAAAGAAAGAAAGGGCAAGGAGGCAGCAGCCAAGAAAGGAGGCGCGGTGGGCAAGGATGGAGATGGCTTTCCCGACCCTGA